CCGGCCCTCGGCAGTGAAAGCATGGAGTCCTAACCACTGGGCCACCAAGGAATTCCCTCGAGCTGTCTTTAAACTTCAGCAGAGGCGGGACCCTTCACCACCGGCTGGCCTGCCTGAGGGACTGGGGGAAAGTCTGCACAGATCATGAGGAAGGGGCTCCCTGAGTCTCTGGATTTTCTCTTCGCCTCTCATCCCCACACCATTCCCACCGTTTCTTTTCCCGCATCCCGGCAATACCCTGGAGTGAAGCTGGGAGGACGCTCAGCTCTGGAGGCGGCTGGAGGCAGGCAGGGCTTGAGCCAGCGTTAAAAGGGAGAGGGGCGGGTGCTCCCGCTGGGAAGGCCGAAGTGCGCAGAGAAGCAAAAGATGGCTTGAAGCGTGCCGGATCCCGGCGCTCACGGGGCCGTGGCGTGGCCGGCAGTGCATTTGACCCTGCGCGCTGGACCAGGCCGGCTGGGACTCGCTGCTACCTCCCGGCGGTGGAGGTTGGAGTTGCACCCCAAGAGTCCACCTTCCCGTTGGTCAGGCGCTCTTTTAAGAGATTTACACGTGTTCCTTTCATCTTCATAACGAACCTCTGAGGTAATGTGATTATCCTCATTTTACAGATAGGGCAACAGAGACCGAGAAAGATTGAACGACTTCTCCATCCCCTCTTTCCGTTCCGTCCTCACCCCCTATACTCATGGCAACAGCCACACTGGCCCACCTGTTTTTCCCTCAGCATACCAGGCACGTTCCACCTCTCACTAGCTGTGCCCTCTGCCTGGAACACCCTTTCCCTAGATTTCCACATAGCTTAATCCCTCACCTCCTGTAAGCTTTTGCCCAAATGTCAGCTGAATGAAGCCCAACCTGATCACCCTATTTAAAATTGCAACCACCCCCATTCCCCTCACACTGCTTTACTCTTATTTATTTGTTTATTTGGCCATGCTGTGTGGCTTTTGGGCTCTTAGTTCCCTGGGATTGAACCCTGGCCCCAGGCAGTGAAAGCACCAAGTCCTAACCACTGGACCGCCAGGGAATTCCTTCTGCTTTACTCTTTATTTTATCCGTAGCATGTATCACTGACAGCATACTATATACTTATGTATTTATCATAGTAATTGCTCAGTTTTTTCCCTAAAATGTAAGACCACAGTATGAATATTTGTCTGCTATACTGATTTATCCTGTGCCCCTAACACAGTCCCTGGCACATAACAGGTGTTCAATAAACATTTATTAAATAAATGGAAGAAATATTGGGCTTTCTTCTTGAGCTATTGAAAGGCAGTGACAAAACTACATCTTTTAATTTTTGATAAAGAGGTACTTTGACTGCTGTATGGAGAATGTATCTTAGGGTAAGAGACAAATATATCTGAGAGACCAAAGATGAGCCTACTGCATTTATCTAGGTGGGAGGTGATGATGGTTTGGGTCAAGGTAGTGGTCTTCCCATAGATTATAGGGAATGAGAGAGCGGTCCAGGAGGAGTGGCTTGGGTGGATTGGGGGGGCCATGGTTAAAATGGGAACCCCAGAGAAGGGCCAGGTTTGGGGAAGGTAAGAAGCTCAGTTTGGGGTGCATTGCATTGCATCTGATTGGCCTGTGAGACATACATATGGTGATGTCCAAGAAGTGTTTCTGCTCTGGGGTGTGGAGCCCAGGAAAGAGATCTGAACTCAGGTCAGTGTTCAGAAGCTGTGACCTGTAAGGAGTAAGGGAAGGGCTTCCCTGGTGGCGCAGTGGTTGACAGTCCGCCTGCCGATGCAGGGGACGTGGGTTCGTGCCCCGGTCCGGGAAGATCCCACATGACGCTGAGCGGCCGGGTCCGTGAGCCATGGCCGCTGAGCCTGCGCGTCCGGATCCTGTGCTCCGCAACGGGAGAGGCCACAACAGTGAGAGGCCCGCGTACCGAAAAAAAAAATAATAATAAAGGAGTAAAGGGAAGACATCGGTGGAAATTATGTTGCCTCGTGTGGCAGTTTGTGTTTCCCAAAGATGCCCCAGCCCACATGCCCACATGAACTTCTTAGAATATGACTTTGACACTTCTCATATCAAGAGGTGAAGTTCTGTGTTCCTTCCCATTAGAGCTAAGCAAATTTGTGATTACAGTGGAAGGGATACTATATGATGACTTATGAAGCTAGATCATAAAAGATGATGCAGCTTCCACTTGGCTCCCTGGAGAACTTTTACTGGAGTCCTGAGTTACCACGTAAGCAGTCTGATTGCCCTGTATTAATTGTCCATTGTTGTGTGACAAATTACCCTCAAAATATAGCAGCTCAAAACAATAAACATTTATTATCTCACACAGTTTCTTTGGGTCAGGAATTTGGGAGCAGCTGAGCTGGTGGTTCTGGTTCAGGGTTGCTTATGAGGTTGCAGTCAAGATGTTGCCCGATGGTCCAGTGGTTATGACTCTTCACTTTCACTGCAAGGGCCTGGGTTCGATCCCTAGTCAAGGAACTAAAATCCCATAAGCTGCATGATGCCACCAAAAACAAACAAAAGAAAAACATGTTGCCTAAAACTACAGTCACGTGAAGTCTTGACTGGTGCTAGAGAATCCACTTCCAGGATGGCTCTCTCACATGCCTAGCAAGTTAGTGCTGGTTGTTGACAGGAAGCCTCAGTTTCTCACTAAGTGGACCTCTCCTTAGGGCTGCTTGAGTGTCTTCATAACATGGCAACTGGCTTCACCCAGAGTTAGTGATCTAAGAGAGAGCAAAATGGAAGCCACAATATCCTAATGACTTAGCTGCCAAAGTCACAAACCATCATTTCTGTATTATCCTACTGGGTCAGATCAGCCCTATTTCATGTGGGAAGAAACTACACAATGTTATGAATCCCAGGAGGTGGAAATCATTGAAGACAACTTTGGAAACTGGCTATTGTAGCCTGGAGTCTGCCATGCTGTGAGGAAGCCCAAACTAGTGCCTACGGAGAGGCTACAGGGATTCACGAATAGCCCCTGAGACTGCAAGAAGAGAGACAGAGGCCAGGTTATCAGCCTCCCATCGTTCCAGCGTTAGCCAGCATCTGACCACAGTTATGTAAGCCAGAACTACCCAGCCAAAATTCTCATACTGAATGCCTAACCTCTAAAAACTGAGAGAAAATAAAATGACTGTTTTTCTCTTAAGTCATTATTTTTGTGGTGATTTGTGTGAATCCTCAATGATTCCCACCTCCCGGTATTTATATCCCTCTGTAGTCTCTTCCCACATTGAACAGGGCTGACATGACAGAATAGGATAAATGACAATATGAGACTTTCAAGGCTAAGTCATAAAGATACTGTGGTTTCCACCTTGCTCCCTCTTAGATGACTCATTCAGGGGGAAGTCAGTCATGGATATAGGAACACTCCTCCAGAAAACTGGAAAGAAGTGAGAAACTGGTCTAAGTCTTAGTCCTCTGTATTAGTTTCCTATTGTTTCTATAACAAACTACCACAAACTTAGTGACTCAAAACAACATGAATTTTGACTTCCCTGGTGGTCCAGTGGTTAAGACTCCATCCTTCAAATGCAGTGGTTGCAGGTTCGATCCTTAGTCAGGGAACTAAGATCCTGCAAACCACATGGCTGGGCCAAAAAAAAAAACAAAAAATTCCTCTCTGGAGGCTCTAGGGGAGAATCCATTTCTTCAACTTTTCTTGCTACTACAGGCCACCCACATTCCCTAGCTCATGACACCCTTTCTCCATCTTCAAAGCCAGCAACACTGCGTCTCTTTGTGATTTTCTTCTATAGTCACACCTCCCTCTGAATCTCTTCTTCTGCTGCCCTTTTTCACTTTTAAGGACCCTTGTGATTACATTGGATCCATAGGATAATCTGTTTTAAAATCAGCAGATTAGTAGCCTTAATTCCATCTGCAACCTTTAATTCCCATTTCCTACGTAAACTAACATGTTCACAGGTCCCAGGAATTAGGACACCGACATCTTTAGGAGCCATTATTCCACTGGCCACATTGTCTGGAAGAAAAGGAATGGGCCTGAGAAGGAGCAGCCAGAGAAGGAAGAGGGCCATCAGGAGAGTGAAATATCACAGAAGCCAGAAGGGCTCTTAGAGACTAAGAGTTCCCAGGAAGGAGTGCCCAACAGTGATTAATACTGTTGGGAGGCCAAGCATGATAAGAACTGAAAAATATGCATTGAATTTAGCATCCTGGTGACACTAGCCGTAAGTTGTCAGGGGAGTATTGGGGGCAGGAGCTAGTTTATGGTGTGCTGGGCAGCAAGGAAGAGGTGAGGAAGTAAAGACTGGGAGTGTAAAATCTTCCAAAAAACTTGATTGTAAAGGGATATTTGTTGCAACTTCTAAAATGGGGAAAAGTTTCAATGCAAATGGGAAGGAAGGGGAAGTATAGGTGAGAGGGGTCATCAATAGATGCTATGTCTGTGAAGTGGGGAGCTCAGCTAGCCCACCAAAGGCTTGGAAAGGAGGGACTGTTGGGTTGATCTGGGCTCAGGTTTTGCCAGGTGGCGCCACAATAGAACAGAGGTTAGGGTACTGTCAAGGGTATGGAGGAGGTGATGGAGCTGGGCGTGTGGGGGAGAGACGGAGAGAGAGAGATCGGCCAGCAGGAGGCGCTGGTGCAGCAGAAGGGAATGACTGGGCAAACTAGGCGGATTGGAGGTTATAGTCCTAATAATGTCTGAGATAGTAATTTCAGGGAAAACGCGTGGTTCTTGATCGGATCGCAGTATTCGCTGGATTCCCCGATCCGCTGGTCTCTAGTTCATGGATGTTCCAAAGTTAGAGCAGGGCTTGGGCTAGAGTAAACTCTATATACTTTTAGCCCGATTAATAAAATTTTTAAAACTCCGGAGACTCCATTACCCTTGAGGCATTGCGGCCACCCCGACTACAATTCCCATCATGCTTGGCAGGCCGTCAAATCAGTAAGTACCCACGTCCCTTAATCCGGTTTTCCAGTCCCAGCATTCCTCAGCAGTTTTCGTACCCAGGCAGCACTCCTGCCAAATCCTGGGAACAGCCAATTGGATCAGGGAGTGTGAGACCAACAGACCAGCCGCCCAGCCAGACGGGCGGGAGAGGGCGTGGTCAAATCCGGCCCCGCCCCTGCTCCGTGGCTGGCTCACTTCCGACTGGCGCCTCCGGCGATACCAGAAGACATGGGCAATACCTGGCGGAGCCCTGGGTGGGTGCGGCTCGCGCTGTGCCTCGCGGGCCTAGGACTCTCTCTCTACGCGCTGCACGTGAAGGCGGCGCGCGCCCGGGACCGGGATTACCGCGCGCTTTGCGACGTGGGCACCGCCATCAGCTGTTCGCGCGTCTTCTCCTCCAGGTGCGTGCCCGAGTGAAGCCTTGGGGGACCCGCTGCTCGTAGGAGCGGTGCATGGGAACCAGGTTGCCAGATGAATCTGGGATTGGGGTGCCCGGGGAGCGGACGCACGAAGCCGCACTGCTCAAGGGGGCGTTGCCTGGCGAGACGGGTGTGTCCGAGACAGGAGTGTGGAGTAGAGGGGTCAGATAGTGCTGGGGACTGGGGTTATTCGAGGGAGAGTGCACGTGAGTCCTGATGACAAGGAATAAGTGACCGGGCAGGACGGGGAGGTGGGGTCGAGTGTAGGGACTGATTATGGTCTTTTTAATTTATTTTGATTATGGTCTTAAGGATGGCTTTGCCTGGGGACAAGGTGGCCAGATCTGGCTATGCTTGAGGGTCTAGGTTAGTGGGATGACCTAAAACAGAATAGGGGAGAGGGTGGCCAGGGCGCTGGAGATTTAGGGATCCAGGGCAGAGAGATTCTGCCCTGGTTTCCCAGTCTCTGGTAACTCTGTAAAGCAAGGTGAAGGGTTATACTCACCTTGCCATGTTAAGACTTATTGAAGGTCTAGGATGAAAAGGGGAGCCTATGGGGGAGCCATGGCCTGGTGTGACCTGGGGATGGGGGAGGATAGGGGCAGTGACATGGAATCCTGTCCTGGCCAAAGAAAGGCTGTTCCTGGAGGCCATTGACCCTTGGACTCATGTGGGGGTTGGGGAAGGGCTAGAAGGGGAAGGACAGCCCAGATGGCTTCTTGGAAATAACCCTCCCAGGATAAGGCCCGTGGCACTCAGTTGACACTCCTAACCTGGGCCCGCCCCTCCACCAGGTGGGGCCAGGGCTTCGGACTGGTGGAGCACGTGCTGGGCAAGGACAGCGTCCTCAATCAATCCAACAGCATATTCGGTTGCACCTTCTACACACTACAGTTGTTGTTAGGTGAGCGGCCCTACCCTCTCATGACAGGCCCCTTCCTGTCTCGGCCAGCCGAGCCCCATCCCTTGCAATCTTGGTGACCCAGACATCTGATGGCCAACTGCTCATCACTGAGCACCTGGGAGGTGGGAACCTAAAGGAGTCTTTACTGTCAGAGCCAGAAGGGCTCTTAGAGACTTCATAGGAGCCCAGTTTTCTGGAAAAGACTCAGAAGTTCGTTTCTGGGGGAAAACCAAGGGTTGCTTATCTTTCATCTCATGTAGAGCCCAGCAGGAAAATTCACTATTTGGGTCCCAGGGATCATTGAACAGATAGGAGAACCAAGGCCTTGGCAGAGCCTGGCAGAGCCTCTCATTTTAGAGGCTCTTCCCCAGTAGCCCCTGCCATCTGGGTGGCACCATGGAGTCATGGCGTGTTCTAGAGGTAGCTAGTCCTGAAGCCCATGCCTGAAGCCCATGCCTGACCCTTTTCTGCCTTGCAGGTTGCCTACAGGGCCGCTGGGCATCTGTCCTGCTGGTGTTGAGTTCCCTGGTGTCTCTAGCTGGTTCTATCTACCTGGCCTGGATCCTGTTCTTCGTGCTCTATGATTTCTGCATTGTTTGCATCACCACCTATGCCATCAATGTGGGCCTGATGGTGCTGAGCTTCCGGGAGGTCCAGGAACCCCAGAGCAAGGTCAAGGGGCACTGAGCCCTCACCCCAAGCCAGGCTGACCTCATCTGCTCTGCTTTGGCTTGTGATCTTTGCCCAAGGAGGCTACATCTGGATCCTTAGAAGAGTCTGCAACCTACCCCTGCCATACTCCCACACAGGACAATGGACCAAACATGCCACACTGTTTCCTTCACCTTAGTGCCTCTGGCTCTGTCCCCAAAGACTGGTTTCCAAAGTTCCTGCTATTGCCCAAGGAGGGATGGTTCAGAGCAATAAAATTTCTTAAATAAATTAGCCAAGTCTGAGCCATCTGTCTGCCAGGGACCTTAGTGTTGGGGCTTTCCCAGTCTTTCCTCCTCTGGGACAGGAAGATATGAGTCAGAACAAGAGTGGAGGGCCTGCTGGGAAGGGTAGTTAGTCCCTTCTCCAGTATGTGGAGTCAGCAAGACCTGGGGTGCCATCAGCCCCCACTCCCAGGAAATGGGCTGGCAGCTTGTCCCTCCTACCCACAGAAGCCAGGCCTTGTCTTCTGGGACAACCAAGCATGTGAGATCTGCCTTTCTGGTTCTGTGCAGGCTTGCTGGGAAGTTCTTCCTGTAGTCTAACCTAACCCCTCCAGCTGCCTTATCTACCACCCCAAGCCAGTCTTGGCAGCCCTGGAGGGCCAGGTACAGGTTGTGCTTTTGTTTTGTTTTTCCTAGTATGTACTAAGCACTTATCCACATGTGACTCACTGTTTAAGACCCTGACATGTCAACTCTTTTAATCCTTATATCAATTGTATGAGGTAGGTATTATTCTTACAGTCATCCCTTGGTATCCACAGGAGATTGGTTCCAAGACTCACCTACCCACCCCCAAACCAAAATCCGAGGATGCTCAAGTCCCTTATATAAAAGGGCATAGGGAATTCCCTGGCCGTTCAGTGGTTAGGACTCGGAACTTTCACTGCCGTGGGCCCGGGTTCAATCCTTGATAGGGGAACTAAGATCCCACTGCAAGCTGCGCAGTGCAGCCAAAAAACTTAATTAAATAAAATGGCGTAGTATTTGCATATAACCTACACATACCCTCCCATATACTTTAAGATATACTTTTAAGTCATCTCTAGATTACTTATAATATTTAATACAATGTAAACAGTTGTAAATACAATGTGAATGCTAGGTAGCTAGTTGTTGGTAAGCAGTAAACTCAAAGTTGTTTTTTGGAACTTTCTGGATTTTTTTTCTTTTTTTTTTCTTGGATCTGCAGTTGGTTGAATCTGCAGATGCGGAACCTGTGGATACAGAGGGCTGACTGTATATCTTGATGAGGAGACAGGTTCAGAGAGGCTAAGTAACTTGCCCAAGATCACACAGCTAGTTTGGGGGAGGGGGTTAGGGAGCCCTCAGGACTGGAATTCACCAGGGCTATATGGCTCTGGTGTCTATGTTCTTAACCGGAGCCACAGCTGCCTCTGGTTTGGGGTCAGGGTCCCTGAACAGTCTGGTCTGTTCTGAGTTAGAAGTCAGGAAGAGAAAAAGGATGCATCCTGAGTGTTCCTCCCTCCTAATTGAGTCTTCCAACACCTGTTAGGAAGGTGGGCACCATGTAACCCTGTTTCCCGGGAAGGTGGCAGAGAGGCATTGAGATTTGCTAGTCTCGTAGCCAGCAAGAAGCAGACAGCCTGGCCCCTTGACACCTAGCCCTGTACACCCTGCCCCTGAATCAAAATAGGAGAAGATAAATGAAACCCATTTGGACCCAGGCCTGGGAGGGAAGCTGAAATGAAGAGTGAGAACTGGGGAAGGCCTGCCCACCATGCCCTTCACCTGTTCCAGTAGGACAGCTCCCACGCTAGGGAGCAAGTTTACTCTGCTAGGCTTCGGTCTAAGCACTTTTACACTCGTTTGGAGTTTTTCAGTCAAGGCACAAACAGGCTAACTGTCCATGGTCACTCAAGTGTTAGGGGGAACTGGGATTTGAACCCAGGCAGTGTGGCCAAGGCCGAGGCCCAGGTAGAGGCGGTGAACAGCCCAGGGTCACACAGCCACAGCCCCAGAACTGGAAACTGCTGGCTCCCTTCCAGTCCAGGAAAAGCAATTGACTCCTGACTCCTAGCAAGTTGAGGGTGGAGCAGAGGTGGAGCTACAGAGATCCAGGTGGCTTCTCAGAGAACCAGAGCACAGGTGGCAGAGCGGCTTGGAGCAGCATGAAGGGGAGCTGGGGACCGAGGCTGCTCATCCTGGGAGCCGTGCTCCTCATAGAGGGTGAGTCACCCGTGTTTGGCGGGGAGGCGGTATGGTGGGGTTCGGGGGCTGTCCTCTACCCCAGTAGCCCCCTGCAGCTTGGTGTGTGAGAGAGAGCCTGCCCGGGAGGCCACAGTCAGCCTTGGCAACGTAACCATGTCTGGCAGTGTGTGTTGGGGAGGGGTATGGGGCCACCTGTGTCCAAATGGGTATGATTTCCTTGGGCTGGATTATAGCCTGCGTCTGCGGGAACTGTCATTATGCCTGTGTGTGCGCCCTGTGGCCCCGTCTGCCTCTCTACGTCCAGAATGACCTTAGGCAAGTTCTGGGGTTCTGTGGCCTCAGTCTCCCCGCCTTTACATATGTCCCGTCTCTCCTGGAGCAGGTGTTCAATGGGTGTGTTTGTATGTGCCTGTGATGGGGAAGAGGAAGGGCAGGGGACCCTTCGGTCGAGTCTCTGGTGGTTTCTGGAAAGGTGGAGGAGCCCGAGTCGTCAGAACAGGGGCGGGGTGAGTCTCAATCTCTTGATGCCCTCCCCAACTTGGACATGACGCAGGCCTCTAATTATTCCTCTTAGGCCTCTGCAGCGCAGGGCACAATTAAGCTAATGCTCTCCACATGCACAGGCTGCCTCTCTGACTCAGCGGTGGGGGCAGGAGTTGGGGTTTCTGCGGCCTGGAGGAGGCTTGGCCTGGTCCCAAGCTGAACCCCAGGCCCTGCCGCTCAGGCCCAGGAGTGCTGAGCACAGCTGAGGCAGAAGAATTAATGAGCACAGCTGAGGCAGAAGAATTAATGACTGAGTGTACACTCTGAATAGCTTCCAATACAAGCTGTTTCTTGACCTCATATAAATATTTTAATTCTGGGAGGGGCCGGTGAGGTAGCCACAGAGTCATAGCAGCAACCCACGCCAATCCCCCCAAACCTGTCCCCTCCACCAAGGCTGGGCCGGGCAGGTAAGGCTCCCTGCCCCAAGGCTCACCTGTGTCTCTCTCTTCCCAGGTCTTCAAGCAGCTCAGCATGGTAAGCTCTGGGGCCGTGGGGCCTGGGCCTTACTTGGGTCTGGGTCGGGCCAGGGGTGAGGGCAGGACAGGGGCCTGCTGTCACCCTGACCCCCACCTCTCCACAGCATGCGGGCAGCGTGGCCCTGGCCCCTCCACACCTCAGGAGGGCAACACGGTGCCTGGCGAGTGGCCGTGGCAGGCTAGTGTGAGGAGGCAGGGGGCCCACATCTGCAGCGGGTCCCTGGTGGCAGACAGCTGGGTCCTCACTGCGGCCCACTGCTTCGAAAAGTGAGTCACGGCTGTGGTCAAACAGGGTTTCTGGCTTTTGGGGTGAATGATTTGTCCCCAAGCCCCTCAAGACTGAGCCCTGCCCCTAGAGTAACAAAGTACCATTTATTAAAAACATGCCATGTGCCGGGTACATACTATCAAGTTAATCTTAACAGCCCTTCATGGTAGAAGCCTTACAAATGAGACAGCTGAGTTGGGAGAAGGATGGGCCTTGCTTAAAGCCACAGGTTTTCTGTCCATCTTCACCCACTTTGTGCTGTGCTGTCTCCCATGGTGTCACTGTCCCCCTTTGCACTCAATGCCTGGGTCTTGTCCCCCCCACTTCCAGGGTGACAGTCACGGAACTGCACTCCTGGTCAGTTGTCCTGGGTTCTCTGAAGCACGAGGGGCTGAGCCCAGGGGCAGAGGAGGTGGGGGTGACGGCTCTGCAGCTGCCCAGGGCCTATAAGCACTACAGCCAGGGCTCGGACCTGGCCCTGCTACGGCTCGCCCACCCCGTGGCCCACACACCCCTCTGCTTGCCTCAACCTGCCCATCGTTTCCCCTTTGGGACCCACTGCTGGGCCACTGGCTGGGATCAGGACAATGATGGTAAGTGCTGGCCCAGGCTGGAGCCCAGAGGGGCACTCTGCTTGCCCAAGGTCACACAGCCTCAGCTGCCAACTGTCCACGTTCCCGGTCTCCCTTGCTCCTCCGAGCCCAGACTCCAGCCCCAACCCCCTCTCTTTCACCAGTTCCCAGGGCCCTACGGAATATACACCTGCGTCTGATCAGCCGCCCCACGTGTAACTGTCTCTACAACCGCTTGCACCAGCGGCTGCTGGCCAGCCCGGCCCGGCCTGAGATGCTGTGTGGAGGTCCCCAGCCCGGGGTGCAGGGGCCCTGTCAGGTCTGAGGGAGAGGACAAGGGAAGGGAACAGGAGGGGGCTGGGCACTCAATCCACAGGGACTGGTGGGAAGGAACACATGTAGAGGGTGTCCGCCCAGGGCTGGGGCTCAGGCGTCTGTCCTTGACAACACTGCTCGGCTTCAGGGAGATTCCGGGGGCCCCGTGCTGTGCCGCGAACCTGACGGACACTGGGTTCAAGTTGGGATCATCAGTTTTGCAACAGACTGTGCCCAGGAAGACACTCCTGTGCTGCTGACCGACATGACTGCTCACAGCTCCTGGCTCCAGGCTCAAGCTCAGGGGGCAGCCTTCGTAGCCCAGGACGCTGAGACCCCAGAGATCAGTGATGAGGACAGCTGTGTAGGTATGAGCAGCGGGTGTCAGGAGCGGGACGTGGGGGGACCTCCCCTCAGGGGTGCATGCCTTCTGGGCAGCAGGTGGAAGCCACAGTGGAACAAATTTCAGCTCAGAATAGAAAACTGATACAGGGGCTAACGAAGGGCTTATAAGGCCCCTTTCAGCCCCCAGGATGGGAACAGCTCCATTTACGGCTAAGAGGCATAGGTGCTTTGGAACTTTATGAATTTGGGGTTTAGGTAAGACGAGGAATTTCTGGGATCT